GAAGTCGGATGCTTAACCAACTGAGCCACCCAGGCGCCCCAAAATTATCCAAGTTTTTAAAGGTAAATTTCTAGCATGAAAATTGCTGGGTACAAGGACATAGGCATTTTTTTAAAGTACAGTTTATTGAGGCATTATTCACCTACAGCAGAACTGGGCCTTTTGGTGGGTACAGTTCTTTGAATTTTGACAAATGCATCAGTCACGCAACCATCACCGCAATGAACTTCTCTAACATTTATTAGCATTCTAAAGCTTTTGATGCATGTTATCAAATTGTCTGCTAGTAAAATTATACCTATTCCCACCTCCCATCAGCCTATGAAAGGTGAACATTGGGTATTATTCTTCAAAAAAAATTTTTTTTAAGATTTTCCAGTTGGATAGGTGAATGTTGCCATCTCATTCCCTTACATTTCTTTGATTACAAATGAGGTTGCATATTTTTTCACATTTATGCTCTGTTTTTATGCCTTATGGTGTGAAATCACATTTATATCCTTATATCCAGATTTTTTTGAAGTATTTATATCTGTAATCATTAACTTCAGTTTTCTTCAACACACCATCTTTGCCAAGTTACAACATTAAGGTTGGGCTGTCCTCGTGTTGTAAAATTGAGAACCTTGCACTTTCTTCTTTACTTTGGCACAATATGATTGAAATAAGCATGCCTTGCTTAATAAGTGGACTTAACTCACCTGTGGCACCTTGCTCAAAGGCTTTTGGAGAATGCGCCAGGCAAAGCATTTTCTTTTAATTTTTTAAACTTTTATTTATTTTTGAGAGACAGAGCATGAATGGGGGAGGAGCAGAGAGAGAGGGAGACACAGAATCCAAAGCAGGCTCCAGGTTCTGCGTGGTCAGCACAGAGCCCAACGTGGGACTCAAACCCATGAACCACGAGATCATGACCTGAGACAAAGTAGGACGCTTAACCGACTGCGCCACCCAGGCGCCCCACGCCAAAGCATTTTTAAAGCCCTCTCGCTCAGTATTCAGAATGTGTGTAGGGGCTCCTGGGTGGTGTAGTCAGTTAAGCATCTGACTCTTGATCTCGGCTCAGGTCAAGATCTCACAGTTTTTAAGTTCAAGCCCTGCATCAGGCTGTGTGCTGATGGCACAGAGCCTGCTTAGGATTGTGTCTCTCCTTCCCTCTGCCCCTACCCTGCTTGTATTTAAGTTTTTAAATAAACTTAAAAAAAAGAATTTGTATTAAAATTCCCAAGTTTTTTCAACAGTTTGGAGCATCAGTGAAACGCTAATACATTGGTTTTCTTAGAATAGGCCAAATTGTAAAATAAAGATGAAAACAAAACCTCAAACGCCACATTTCCATCATTTCTCCGGATTCCATTAGCCCTTGGCAAACACGTATGCTTACATGAAGCTCAGTGATCCCAGTATGGTGTTCAAAAACTGACTCATTTCTTTAAAGAGAGTACAGAAATTTCTACCTTCAGTTTCCTAGGAGAGAAACTGATGTGAAAGGTAGAGTAAGAAAAAAGATGAAATGTACCGTATCAACCAGTTTTCCCCGAGCACACCCTGGACATGGGCGATTACACTAATGTGCTTCCTAGGGTATGGAAATAGCATATGTTCTCATAAAACCCTCCATCTGAGAAAGAGGATCTGCCCTGTTGGTGATAGCTTCCTCTCATGGACAGGATAATGCTATGTAAATTCCAGGATCCCTGGGCAGTCATCACCCTACTTAGTTACCGCATCAACATAACTGTACTTTCTTTCCCTTTATCCAGGACGTCTGCGTTAAGGCTTACCTCGCCCTTCGTCATCACACAAACCTGCTGATCATCCTCTTCTCCATGATGCTGATGACGGGAATGCCCCAGTTAACAAGCAAAGAAGATATTGAATATATTCGGGATGCCCTAACAGTGGGGAAAAGTGAGGAGGATGCTAAGAAGTATTTTCTTGATCAGATCGAAGTGTGTAGAGACAAAGGATGGACCGTGCAGTTTAACTGGTTCCTGCATCTTGTTCTGGGCATCAAACAAGGGGAGAAACATTCAGCCTAATTCTTTGGGCTAGAATTAAAAACAAGTTAGTGTTCTAAAGCTTTAAGTCAGCATGTCCATCATTGAACTTGGACTGATGGACAGGACATTATGAAAGCTGGCACTTCAGAAATGCAGCTCTGTTGCTGGCTGAACCCTTTACTGGAGAAAAATACTGGCATGTCGGTTTGTTTAAATAATGTTCAGTTTTAGGCTTGTATGCAGGTTTGTTTTTCCTCATTTGCTTCAGTGATGTTGGAGAACATTCTAAGTTTAAACAAACTATTTCTTCATTGTGCCTGCTGGTTTGACTGTCTTATTATCGAGTGCCTCTGGAAATTGGGAATAATTGGTGACATCTCTTTTCATCTGCGTATACTCTCAATTTGGGTCATTCTTGTGCTCCTCAACCTCTTTAGAGAAAAAGACGTAATCGTTGTAACCTCTGTCTCATTCCCTAAAGGACACTTCCAAACATCCCCCTCCATGTCTGTAGATGATAGCGATTTGCTAAAAGCAAAGGAAGGCGAGTTGGTCTTTTCAGTGTCTTTTGTAATTAGGTTCTTGTACAGTGTACAGCTGAGATGCACAAACATACAATGGAAAATCTGAACCTTTGTGCCCTGGCACTTCTCTGCTGGTCTGCTTCAGGGTTACGAAGAGGAAGAACAGAGAGGAGACCATTCATCTCAACTCTGCCCAAGAGCAGATTGCCAATTCCAGCTACTACAGCCTTCTCCAGCATGGAAACAGGAAGAAACTAAAGGGACTCATTTTTCACCTTTACATCCTCCTCCCTGCCTCCCTTCTTCCTTAACTGTTACCCTCCCACAACTCTTTACCCAAGTTGTGAAGTCCTCAAGAATGCATCTACCCTAGAATTCAAAACTTAGTTGAAAAGCAATTTCTCCCCTAGGGTTACTGGAATTTTATGTACTTATTTGTAAAAATGTTTGGTGGAGTTTTTTTTTTTTTAAGTATATTATTAAAGAGGACATTCTAGGAAATATGGATTTGTTTTCACACGCCTTAATTTTACATTTTGGTCTAAGAATTTTTATTCTTTTTTTTTTAATGAAAGAAGGTATTTGGTATCTGAACAGTATTTCATATTAGCAAGAACACTACTTGCCCTGTTCATCTCTCAGTTTAAAGGACTTTTAAACTCTGACACATTCTTCAGATTTCCTAAAAATTGAAATGGTTTCTTTAAAAACCATGTTCATCTCCTAAATAGCTTGCTATTTATTGGAAGTGTTGTTTAACCTTAGAGAAAGATCGTTAAATTATTTATAAAATATTTCTAAATTACCTATAGTTAATACTTTACCTAGAATTAACTGTTAACCATGTCTATGTTTAAACACAATCAGATATAAATAGGTATTTAAGTTAAAATTTTTCTAAACAGATACCTTTGGTGTAGCCTGAACTTTTTTTTTTTTTTTTGTATATGCAAAAGGCCTTTGAAGGTAGGGGTAACACTGCTTCCTTGCCGGCTGAGCCTTTCCCCTGCTTCATAAGGTGTCTAGAAAGAACACTTCCTTGACAGCTCGTTCTTTCAAAACTACTCCATCCCCCAGTACAGAAGACCATGCCCTGCAACGCATTAATGAATGCATTAATGGAAGGTAGATGTTGTGCGACATTTTTACAACTATTCCCCACCATTCTTCTGAACAAGAACAGGAAGGATGATGCTTTCTAATTGAGAAGATGTATTCATTATTCTTATAAAAAAAAGCTGAGCTGGGCCTTGCACAGATTCTGCTTTTTATTTGAATTGCTGAAATAATCGTCTTGATAGAAGAGTTAGAGAAATGTATTCATATTTAGCTTGCTGGCACATGGGCATACCTATTTTCAGATGGACAAGTTCTTTTGTTATGCTGACACACATCACATTGGGCCTGATTCTTCTGTATTTCAGTGAAGGTAGAACTTTAACTCTTTAGACTCACAGATAAAAATTACTTTTGTGTGCCTCTTCCGTTCATTATTTACAGTGAATCACATGACCCACAGCTTTTAGACTTTTGAAAACGTTGTAGAGTTCGGGTCATCTCCTCCTGGGAGGAGATTTGGGGGAATTACCCACAATTCTGTCTTCACTGCCAGATGAAAACAGAGATTACAGGTTAGATGATTCGGGTAAAAGCAGCTTTCATGTATGTCCAGGACTGGATACATGATTTGCAGAGCCCAGTACAAAATGAAAATGCGGGGCCTGCCATTCAAAAATTATTAAGAAGTTCAAGATAGCAACAGCAGAGCATGAAACCAAGCACAGGAACTTCTGACCATGAGTCACTGCACAGGTCACAAGCCTGTGAAGCTGGCGCTGTACAGATCTGAATAATGGCTTTGATGCTCAATTTTGCATTTGGACTCCATCTGTAGGAGTTCAGATAAAGTGCCCAGATCAAAATGCTGTTTATGTTCTAATTAAAATACCTCATTTCTGTGGCTGTACATTTGGACGTAAAACACTGGCCCATTGATTTAGGACTGGAACAATGGCCACTAAAAGGAGAGCAAAGCAGATGTTCGAGACCTAGCCCCATATGACCCCATTTAACTACGTTTAGTGAAAGTATGAGGAAGTGGAGACCTCGTAGATAAAATATAGAAATTCCTAGAGAAGACTCTTGACTTTTAAAAAGGTAACTTTATTAACTATATATATTTATAGGAGATGAATCATTTTTTAAAGAAAGACCAGAAGGGCGCCTGGGTGGCTCAGTCGGTTGGGCATCCAACTTTGGCCCAGTTCATGATCTTGCGGTTTGTGAGTTTGAGCCCTGCGTTGGGCTCTGTGCTGACAGCTCAGAGCTTGGAGCCTGCTTCAGATTCTGTGTCTTTCTCTCTCTGCCCCTCTCCCACTTGTGCTCTGTCTCCCTCTGTCCCTCAAAAATAAATAAACGTAAAAAAAAAAAAAATTAAAGGTTAGATATGGGAATTCTGTGGGATAATTTGGAGGCTGGGAATCCTAGGTAAATGGAAATTATTTTTTTGATATGGGCCAAAAAATAAGTTAGAAAGTATATTTATGGAGCAAGTTCTGGCGTTTGGCAAACCAGGCTCTATTTGCCATGGCTATGAAATAAATTGTCAGTTATATTTTACAACATGAAGAAAAAAGTTTTTGGATTTTTAAGGACTCTGCCATCTTATATCTGTTTTACCCAACCTAATAATTCTGGTCAATTAATCTGGTTCTTATCTGTGTGCTTGTCTGCATATTTGCAAGGACTCATTTTTAGGACAGATGCCAGGGGAGCCTAAAGCACACACCTTGGCAAAGGTGCTCATTCAGAAAGTCAAGAGATATTTCCTCTTCTGGACAGTCCAGCTCTCCCCACTTGTATTTGCATTTCAATTACAATCGTTGAATGTAAATTCAAATTAAAGAATCGACGCCTTGTATTCTCTGTACGCGTCTTTTAATGTCTGAAAGTCCAGATATTCCTGAAAGTCAGATTCCTTAACAAATCTTTATGGAGTATGGTGCCTGGCTGGCTCAGTCAGTCTGACTCCTGACACGGGCTCAGGTCATGATCTCACAGTTTGAGTTCAAGCCCCGCATTGGGCTCTGTGCAGATAGCATGGAGCCTGCTTGGGATTTTCTCTCTGCCCTTCCCCCCTTGCTGTCTCTCCCTCTCTCTCTCTCTCTCAGAATAAATAAATAAACATTAAAAAAAGAAGAAAGAAAAAATATCTTTATGGAGTGCCCACCGCCCTAGTAGACTGTGTGCTGAGGACTGGGTATTAGAATGTGGAACAAAATCGACCCAGCCTCAGTCCTTAAAGGGTTTATAGTTTGCTGGCAATAGCAGACACCTCATAATGGTTGTATCTTGTGGGTCAAATTGTGTCCTCCCAAAAAGATGAAGTCCTCACCCTTGGTCCCTGTAAATGTAATTCTATTTGAATTAGGTTCTATAGATGTAATAGAGTTAAGGTGAGGTCATGATGGTGAGCCCTGATTCAATATGTCTGGCATACTCAAAAGGAAAAAGAATGTGATAGAGGTAGAGATTATAGTGTCTACCAGCCAATGGACACCTGGGGTACCAGATGCCGGAAGAAGCAAGGAAGGGTCCCACCCTAGAAGCTTGTAAGGGAGCATGGCCCTGCCAACACTTGCAGATGTCTAGCCTCTAGAACTGTGAAAGAATAAATTTCTACTGTTTTGAGTCACCCAGTGTGTGATATTTTGTTATGACATCCCTAGGAAATTAATAGAGTGTCGACAATCATCAGTTTTGTGGGGGTTTCTTTTTGGAGGAGCAGACAGAGTTTATGTAAGTAAACCTGTTTGATGCTTTCTACTGTTACCAAAAAGACTTAATTGAGTGCAAAATATGTGACAAAGTGCTAATATACTTAATATATAAAAAGCTGTAATAATTCAATAAGTAAAAAATGAATACCTTACCAGAAAATGTTGAATTCACCAAAAAAATACATGTGGCCAATAACCATATCACAAGAACCCCAAATCACTGCTGATGAAGCAAATGCAAATTAAGATAATTTAAGTGTCTTTTCACCATCAGATTAGGAAAGATTGGTAATAGTGAGAGTTGGTGATAATTTGGAATAAAGAATACTCTAGCACACTGTTGAAAACAGAGCAAGTTGATAAAATTTATGCATGGCATTTTGTCACATTTTATCAAAATTAAGAAGATATTGGGGTGGCTCAGTCTGTTGAGCATCTGACTTTTTTTTTTTTTTTTTTTTTTGGAGAAAGAGAGAGAACGCATAAACGGGATAGAGTCAGAGAGAAGTAGAGACAGAATTCCAAGCAGGCTCTGCAACATCAGTGAGAGCCCGCTGCAGGGCTTGAACTCACAAACTGTGAGATCATGACCTGAGCCCACATCAAGAGTTGGACGCTTAACCGACTGCACCACCCAGGCGCCCCAAGCATCTGACTCTTGATATCAGCTCAGGTCGTGATCTTTCAATCATGATCTAGATGCTCCATGCCGAGTGTGGAGCCTCCTTGGGATTTTCTCTCTCTCTCTCTCTCTCTCTCTGTTGCTCATCTCCTCCCCGACTCACACACAGGAGAGTGAGCTGGGTATGGGCAAAGACAGCAGGGAGCCCGATGTGGGGCTTGATCTCAGGAACTATGAGATCATGACCTAAGCTGAAATCAAGAGTAAGAGGGTTAACTGACTGAGCCACCCAGGAGCCCCAATAAATCAACTTAAAAAAACAACAGAAAAAGAGGGTATCTATTCTCCTACCCAGCAA